TACGACTTATTGCTCCATGCGGAAGAATTTAGACCTTAGTTCTTTGACTCTACGCGCAATTCTGAACGCGCTGTTAGCAATATAGCGAGGAAAAGAGACATATTCATATTTATTTACAAGAAAAATGGTACAATAAAAAGATGTTACAATACATATGGTGCTCAAACATGATTCGCTAAATTAGCATGCAAATATCAAATTATTTTATATTAATATTGTAATTGGTCACACTATTGTTAATCATACCAAAACATTAATTCCATTTAAACATGTCAATTAATCGTCATACGTCATCACATAAACATGTTAAGAAATCCATAATATTATTGATTAAAAATAAGTTATAATTTTAGTCAAATTTACAATCATAAAACTTTAAATCATTTATTCCATTTACACATGTCAAATTATCAAGCAATTAAATATTATTAAACAACAAATTATTATTTTTATTTTATTTTTATTTTCACTAAAATAAATACATATCACATAGAATAAAAATTACAATCTTAATTAATTTGTCACTTATTATGTCTGGATTTAAACATAAAATTAAAATATTCCTCTACAGAGTAAAAACATTGTTCCTGCAACCATGACTTTATCGTCCTTCGAAAACGCGTTTTTGGAAGATTTAGAAACTCTGTTGGTAAAGCATTATATACCTTGATGCACATAGCTGTAGAATTTTTCAAATAAAGACTGGGCTTTGGTCTAGCACTATAAGAAAGTTTGTCAGGGTCACGGAGGGTTCTTTGAGTTCTATTTATATCACTACATTTCGTAAATAAATTGCTATTAAATTTGACAGAGCAAACCAAACTCAAAATGTACATACAATATAATGGTAAAATACGTAACCTTTTAAAGTATGGTCTACATGACTCATCTGGTGCTAATCCGTGCATGGCTCTAATACATTTCTTCTGAGCAATAAATGCCCTATCAGCATCTGTACTGTTACCCCAAAGTAGAATGCCATAATCAAGCGTAGGATAAATATAACCATAGTAAGCTGTGATTAATGTAGAGTGTGATGTTGTTTTTCTGAGTCTACTGAGAAGGTAAATGTAACTATTTATCTTCGTACAAATCCTATTGACATGAGCCTTCCAGTTAACATGGTTGTCTAGTATTATTCCTAAAAATTTTGCTTCGTCTGTTTGTTTTACAAGTTGTTTATTATAATATAAGTTGAGGTTATTAGTCAAAGTACCGTAATTAGCAAATTGTATGTAACATGTTTTTTCTATATTAATATATAAATTATTATATAATGTCCATTTAGAAATATCTTGAATTGTATTATTAATATTTGATTCATATATATTATTTTTAGTTTCCTTGCTAGATGTCACAAGAACTGAAATGTCATCAGCAAAAAGAACGCATTTACCTGATATGGCATCAGGTAGGTCATTTATATAAAAATTGAAGAAAATCGGTCCAAGTATCGTCCCCTGCGGAACGCCAAACGCATTGACTCTTTCTTGGGATTTATATTTGACTACAGTTTGAGTTCTGTCAATATTAGCTATTTCAACATACTGTGTCCTGTCTTTTAAATAGCTAGCTATCCAATTTATAACAGGTCCTCTAAAACCGATATTTTCCAATTTATTCAGAAGGATTTTATGTGATACGAAATCAAAAGCCTTTGTCATATCAAAAAAGACGGCAGTAACTTTCCGCCCATCATTTAAATTCTCAATGATATCATTGATAAGATTAGCATTTATAGAGTTCCGAAAATGAACAAATATGACCTAGATTTCTTCTTTAAAAAGCTTGAAGACTTGTTTTACACTATTTTAAAAATAAACACTAATAATAAGTACGTCATATTGGGTGATTTTAATATTAATATGATGGATAATAATAAATACACTCAACAATTTCTTGATCTTATAAAAAACTTTAATTTAACATTACATGTCAAACAAGCTACTAGATTAAACTCCTGTATAGATTTGATCTTTAGCAATGTCAGTGATGCTTTTGCTGAATTGTTACCCCTTTCTCTGTCAGATCACAATATGGCACAGATGCTGTATATTCCACTGGTTACAAAAAAACTACCGCCGTTAAAATATTTTATCTTTAAACGAGCCTACAGTGATGAAAACGTTACCAAATTCATAAATAGTATTTCAGGCTTATCATTTTCTGATGTTTATAATGAAACCGATGTAGATAAGTCTTTTAACAATTTTTATGATTTATTTCTCTTATTTTATAATTTATGTTTTCCTAAGATAAGGCTATGCATTAATAATAAAATCCGACTATATGACGACTATATGGCGACGTATAACCGACCATGCATTTGAATATCACAAATATTTTATTTTATTTTATATTTTTTTTTATTTTACCAGTTTATAGTAAGTATTAGATCAAAATTTGCTTCAAATGCGTTAAATTAACAAACATTGACTAGATACCTGTCGAAAAAACGACACCTTTCGTACTCTAAGTGTTATTTTCGCATTTTTTCGCGGAGCTCTGTGGCATCTTGACTTTGTAACGGTCTGCGCGTGACTGTGAACCAAGAAGTGCTTGAGTGGAGTTCAAGCACTTCTTGATTGTGACACATTTTGAGCGCTCGTGGTGTATCTAGGGTATTTAATATCGTTGCATTTTGAAAAAATAAGAATCTATGTTTTGTTAAGTTCATTTTGGTAGGTATATAAATGGTGACATAATGAATAAACTTGTTTCAATTATTTTATATTAAACATGTGACAGAATTTATGACCTGACTAGGTATATATATGTCGCCGCATACGTTATTATCATAGTTGATTAAGGCAAAATAGCGATTAATAATTATGATACTGTCTATTCTAAAATTAAGAGGAAATAATGTTTGCATTTTCATTTAAATTATTTACTCTAATATCTAAACCATCGGTTTAAGTACTTTTATTGTAAAAGTCATGCGACTGACATTATGACACGAAAGTTGATTGACACTTATTATTAAGCTAAAGTTTTGTATTGATTAATTCATTTAATTTATTTTGTTGTTAATTTAAAGTTGAAAATCTGTAGCTATTTGTTACTAAATTTAGTTAGATTATAATTAGGAGACTTATTTGTCTGTTAACGATATCGCGTGATCGGAACGGCGCAACGCCATTGATCCACGCTCCAAGTGGTCGTGGGGTAGGGGCGGTGCGATCGTTCGATGGCGGGGCACAGGCTTGGGCACTGTGTGTCTAGTGATGTTACGGTCTTGAATTTTGACAAACCGGATTTGATCGGTTAGTAATACATGCAAATCGGTTTCCGAACCGAACCGCCAAATTTTCAGTAAACCGCGGTTTGAACCGGTTTGAACCGTTTGACGAGTTGACGAATGAAACTTACGAAACAACAGGTGCTATTTTTTTTTAATTCTACATATTTTATTGATATTACATCGTGCAAATATTTAAAGGTAATTGAAAAATAACAATTAAAATATGAAAACAAATAATAATAATCAGAATTAAAAATGTCAAAATAAAAATAAACAAATATCTATGTAATACCGTGTTTAAAAAATTACAAAAAAATATATAAACTCTATTAATTACATAAAACCGTACTTCTTAACTTTGAGAATAAAATACAATTTTAATAATCAACCATATAATAAATACGTAACTTATTTTTGTAAAATCATTTGAGTCGTAGAAACTTTATTTGGTACAAACAACAATTAAAAAGTTTTCTTACAACTATTTAGGAATAATATTTGGTCTATTTTTTTAGAAGCTGGGCAATTACGTCGCATATTACATAATAATGAAAACAAAATTACACCGTCAAGTTAGTCAAATCTACCAGAGTCCGTTTCATTTCGGTTCGGTCGGTAAGTCGGTTATGGCTGTTGTATTTAAATTGTCGATGCGCGCTAACCGTATCCGCTGCTGTAAGTCGGTTCGTATTGGTCGGTCAAGTTTTATTAGGGTCGGTAAAGCATGTCAGGAGCCGCACGCGATTTGTGGATGGCGGCATAAACAAGAATTGACAGGCGCGCATGCGCGCAGCGCGATACGAACGAATGCCATGGTAGAACCGGTTTACGAAGACGTTAACCGATTCAACTCGGTCCATGCTCAAACCGGTTTGAACCGGTTTGAAAAGTCAAGTCGTTACATCTCTATGTGTGTCTGATTCTTGAACTGAACGGTAGTGAGCAAAAGCTCTGCCCCTTTGTTCATCTTTACCTTTTAAAAAAATATTATTGAATTTAGTTAAGATAAGTGATTGTTTAAAGTGATTTGAGAGTGAAGTGAATTTTTAAAAATAAAACAAGGTTACTGTAATCGTTAAAAGTGATTTATTAAAAATAGCTTTGCACATTTAATTACTTTTTATTCTTTAATCAAACTTCTCCATGGACGAGCCAGGCAGAACCGCTGGCCATGCCAGCGATATCGAGTCTGGACATTTAAATAATAATAATAATACTCCTGAATTTTCGACATATATATGTATGTTTTCACCTATGTATGTATGTATATCTATGTATTCATATGTGTTTATTTGTTTAATATACTCTGTTTTGTACAAAGATTTTCTCGCGTATTATTGCAGTTAATTACACCGCCGTTTCCAGCTTCTTTCTTTTCCTGTCCATCCCAAGGTTGTCTGGAAGAGATCGCTCTTAGCGATTAGACCGCCCATTTTTACACTGTAAGCAGCCATTATGTATAATGTTTTATATTTTTTGTGGTATAAAATAAAGAGATTTATTATTATCATTAACAAACTTTCGAAAAAACTAAGTATTTTTTTCGCATTTTTTTACGGAGCTCTGCGGAATCTTTGACTTTTCAACGAACCGCGCGTGACTGTGAACCAAGAAGTGCTTGAATGGTGTTCAAGCACTTCTTGATTGGGAAACATTTCGAGCGCAAATGGTGTATCTAGGGTAAGTTTCGGCCTTAAAAGGTAGCCAGCCGCGTGCGCAGCGCACTCTGCCCGTCGACTCTTTGGGCATGCGTGTTCTACTTTTACTGCTCAAAGTGAGTACCGTCTTAATTTTTTAAACGTTTCGTTTCATTGACTTATGAAACCTTATACCCATGGGGCACAGTCTTTAAAAAAACACAATGAACTAAATTTTTTTTTTATACAAAATAAATAATTATAAACAGAGTTGTGCGACAGGTTAAATAATTATTTTCAGTAGAAGTCAGAACCGATACAATTTAATAAAAAAAATGTAACGATGTCAATGTCTTCTTTTGGGTTGGCAAGTGAGGTCGTACGTCCAAGCCCCTCTTCTGCACGCGGTGGTCGCCCTAGGGCTCCAGTGCCATCCGCGTGCGCAGCGCACTCTGCACGTAGACCCTTCAGACATTCCATTGCTTTCTAAAGTGGTCCCTTTGCAGCTGAGGTGTCCGTAGTCAGGCGGTATCGGCGCTGCGCACCAGGTTCGAGCTTAAAAAAAATCATTTTTTAATTTCATTATTTATTAAGAAGTTACTTTACTTAATAATATACCTTTGCCCGTTACTTTGACTGCGGGATATATATTAAAAAAAGCTGGATGGTAATTAGAGGATACAAAATCCAGAAAATCTCGTTACAAACTTATAAATATGCTTGTAAATGTAATGCTGCCCAGCACATATATTCTGCCGCGGTTAGGGTTACCATCCGTCCGGGTGTGACTTTTTGCCTTTTGTCCGGCTTTTTGATTTGTTCGGATTTTTTTAATTATATTGATAATGAGTAAAACTACTTATTAATTTATATCAAATAAATCAAATAATCGTTATTAAGTTCTCATTAATTTAAAACAAAATACAAATTATCTTTATAAATCAAAAACGAGGCTCCCCTCGCGTTGCGAGCATCTGCTACCACGCGTATCATACCACTGTAACGAAGTGGGTGATGTTTGCATTTTGTGACTAAAATGTCCGGACTTTTATCGAAATGTCCGGCTTTTTGTCAGGACTATTCAAATTTTTAGATAGCAATCCTAGCCGTGGTGTATTATGATTGTAAAGGCCCTAAGTATGATTAAAAAAAAACCTTACCCTTGCACACAGGAAGTTTTCCGTTCCACCTTGGTCGAACGCTATCTCCACAGGATAAACTTTTGTGCCCTTGCAAATCCAAACCGGGGTCCCGACATGTGAATTGGCACAGCTTGCTTCTCTCGTCACATCGTGCAATCAGATAGCTTGGTACTGGGCAGTCGTGGAGCATTACGTGCACTTGCATTTTACATAGTTTTAGTATCTGAAATAATGTGTGAATCGTTGATTTTATAGCAGTAGTCAGAGACGTCAATGAAATTTTATGCAGGTAAAAAGTAAAGTTCTGTCCTAACCTATTACTATCGAAAATACACTGAAAGCATAAGTTCTGATCATAGGTTAAAAAATATTGGTGCCTTTGAGTTCGGCTGTAGGACAGTAACATTACTGAGATTAAATAAAAATACATAATCATCAGTCTATCAGCGTATCCACTGCGATGACATAGTCATAAGCCTTCTCTGTGGATGGAAGGTGTATGGACCAGGATGCCCACTATTAACTAATCTGTGACCCAGTGCCAATATGTTGGTGATAAAGCTGCAACGAATGTTTATTAACATGCCCATCGGAGCGCGGAGGAACTTTAGCTGTTCTACACGTAAGATGACGCGGGCTTATTCTAGCAGCTAGTGATGGTGGTACCTTGTTTCTGTATGAAATTCGTCCAATAATCATATGTGAGCCCTTTTCTAGTAGGGATCCAAATTTTGGTCCATATACAGTTGAGAACCGTACATCCCTTGGAGCTTTCAGACCAGAGCAGCTTAACAAGGCAGGGGATTGTATCATTACTCGATCGGATCCTGGTTTCGCTATGATTGTTCTGTCATGCGGGCACCTTATACAAAAATTGGTGTAACCTGTTAAATACAAACACTTGTGTTAAGGTAGGTATATTACAATTAACAAGGAATATTTTGCTAGTTTTATAAGCGTCCAGATGGCTAACATGAATAAAATGGCGGGGATATAATAATATTTCATTATAAATAAATTCCGGGAAACTCACAACAATTACTTAGTAGCAAGGTTGTACTACCCATAGCTGCTTTATGGAAATTAAATAAAGGAGACACAATTTTAATGTATCTAAATAACTAGATCGGACTTCGTTAAAAACATTTAAGTTCATCATACGGATGATATCTGTATGATGAACTTAAATGTTTATATTATATTATATTATAGGGAAGGCCTATGGTGTCCCTGCAGTGGGGTCATTAATAGGTTGATGATGATACAAATAAATGCTCTACCAAGATTTAAACATTTCGATCTATGACAGCATTCAAAATTTTAGGACCCATGTAGAAAAAGACACGAGCGCTGCCTGGTCGTATAAATAAATGACAGAAACAAATTCATTATTGGTCGGTCAGCAGTAATGGAGCCGAGATTTTAACAAAGTTATCACAAAGTTACGAAATAAGAAATTTCCGTTACATAGGTACATTTAGAGCTACTCTGAAGTAATAAATATTGGGGTGGGAAAGCTTTTATACTTACTCGAATCAATCAAGTTGGAGTTTCTATCATACGCTTGTAGCGGTAACGAACGGCTTGCAAATTCGTGAGGCCTTACAACATCCCTATTCGGGTATATCTCGGATACTGTTCTGTTTATCTTCTTCCTATTGCTCTCTTTAATATATGAATCAGACTGGTAGAAGAGTCTCGGGTCTTCTCTTGATCTGTACACTTTGATCGTTTCCGCAGAGTTCGAGGAGACACCACGCATAGGTTGCGCTGCCTTGTGCCACTCGGAGACCCCACTACTATAATCGTCATAATCATTACTTCTTTTATATTGATAACCCACTGAATTTTTGCCTTGATGGAAATGTTCGGATTGTGTACCTTTGCTTGAAAGAAGTTTCACCCTGAAATGTTTAAAAATAGTCGTCTTTAGGTGTTGTTTTGAATTGTTATTAATTTCATTCGCGTAGGTAAAATTTTCTTAAGATGTTTTCGTTTCTGATTTTGTATGATCGCTGCTTTGCAACACAGCTGTAGATTATTATTGAGCAAACAGGTAGAGTGCAAATAGCTCACTCAACATTTTCTGTATTCTCAAACATATCCAAATATTTACAGTTGGATAAGTCTGTTAGCAAGATGCTAATAAATTAGGTATGCAGTTGAAAATCTAGACAGTTATTGATAAATACGGATGAGATGACGCAAAAGCCAGGAACTATTTCTGCATGAAGTGTATTTGAGGTGAAGTGTTTCATGACAGTTTGTTATGCGCAGGTATTAGACCCGTAAACAATGTTTCAATGCAGTTTTAAATTCCTAATAATAAGTACTTAATTATAGTGATTGCTACCATGTACCTTGTTTTTGGCGAGTCCCCAATATTGTTCCAGTTACACGTGATCCTGATCATGGCACATGCATAATAGTGTTAAAATAAATAAAAAAAATTGCAAAACCAAGGAAGCAATCTCACTATAAGCACATAAATGTCAGTGACCATGAAATAATGAAACAATATCCATACTGACGTTTTTTTAAGCATTTAACTTCTAGATGTTAAATCTAAAGAAAAATCCACTAGAAAAAACTCCACATGCTAATGATATAAGTATGCTATACAAAGTCGCGGACAACCACTAGTATTTCTAATAATTTGATGATCAAGAGCAAGATATACTTTAAAATGTGACTTCATTCATACGTTATAATTTCACTTATTAAGAAGACAATTCACTTCGCCACGGTAATATTATCTACCGTGACTTCGCGCGGTCATATATTTTAAAACTTATATAAAAAACTAAACGTGATCGGCTTTGGTACCGTAAAATGTTCCTACTTTGCTCCTATAGGGGTAATTATATTCCAATTCTCTAAAATGTTTTATTGCTTAATGCGTCCAAATCGGTGCAACATTTCATTTAACTGTGAATGCACCCGAAACATTTTTCGACCATTGATACTATCAAAAAAGGTAATACGTAATATTACTGGAGCATAGTTTGATTAAGGAAAGCATAACTTTGCTCAAAAGACTTCTACAATGGAGATTGTTTGTGGAATATACCATATACCCTTGTTCATAGTTTTATATATATTATGAAATACTCATTACGCTGATTTAACTTTAAAAAAATGGAAAATAACATATTATGCTTACAATTAATACATCTGAATATATTTCATAATGAATAGTGTAAACAATATTCATAATTCCCTTTTTTTGGAGCATATATTGGAGCAAAGTAGGACCATTTTACTGGTACCTAATGATTCTCTGTTCTATGATAGAACGATTTTGTAAAAAACAAAATGCGTATACTTATATTTTATAAAGAAATGCTTCAACTGCAACCGTGAAATATGTTTAAGACCTAAAAATAGGTTTTTAGTTCAACGTTCAATGTCACACAAAAAAAAAACACATAGAACGCGATAATGTAGTATCTCAAAGATATCACAGTATATCAAAAAAAATGGGTGCGTATACTTATGTAGGCGCGTGAGAAGTTATCATTCTTTGGAATCGTTTAAAATTAGTTTTTAATTGCATGCAAATAATTAATTACAATAAATTAATAAAAGGACACAGTCAATAAAGTTCAGTTTTAATTTGAAAAAATAAATAAATAATCAAAATATTCAATTAAAATCGCTACTGAATATAACTTATTAGAACATATGTGATTTGCACTTGTATGAAACTCCAACACGTATTCCGAATATACAAACTAGAAACATGTGGATAAATATTATAAATATGAATACCTATAACTGTTACTTTATTACAAAAAATAAAGATGTGGTTTTTGGTTCTACTACACCAATGGTCAAGAGATGGCGCTGTAGTCTCCTGAATCGCGCTTTGGTTCCGTTGTTCCAGATTAATAAATACCTTTGATAGGCCTTCACAATGCAGTCGTTAGCACCCACTAAATAGAGATTCTATTTCTATTTTGTTGGTAGATTTTCTTAATGAGCGGTAAACACAAAAGTAACAGCATGAAGTTGGTCGCTAAAGCGACCAACTTCATGCTGTTAATATTTTGTGTTACAGTGATGCGCGCGCATCTTAAAATTTCACTCTCATCATTTTTTCAAAACGCGCCTAAAGAAGTATAACTTCAAAAAATTATGCTACTACATAATAATTGCAACAAATACATAATTATTTAATTTTAAATGGTATCTTTGCTTGTGGGATTGTATTAGGTACATGCATACATAATCATACATTTCTCTATAAAGCAAAATAAGCTTTTTTGTTAAAATGTACAATTTGTCATTGTGCTTTGACCAATATAAACTTTTGCCCTCTTATCAATAAACGAAGACTAAGCTTGGATTAGTTACTCCATGTTTTGTCTCTGTCTATTGAATGACAAATGGCATTTGAGTGACATGAACAAAACACGTCGTAACTAGTCTAAGCTTATTCCTCGTTTATTAATGATGGGGTTGCAGTTTAAATATTGAAGAATTTCATAAAACACGAATAATTACGAAAATAGCAATGATAGGTATCCATAAAAGTAATCTTTTACAGTAAGTAATCGTCCACATAACCAAATATGATAAAATAATCCAAATTATTGAACTCATACTGGATTGGAATGAATGGATATCACGGAATGCGCTAGCTGTTAACTTTCCCAGGCAAATAGTAAAAGGTCTAAAACCACTTTTTGAAATTCGTTATGTCTGTGTTCACCGAATACTACTTTCATAATAATGTAATCATTTTAGTAATACAGAAAGCATTTTTTTTTCGTATACTAATGGATGTTGAACGTTGCCAAGCTTTTTTTGCGTCAAACTTTTTTCAACACTTTGATACTAACCTGTTAATGTCTATATCCGTCTGCCAGGCGTCCAAAGCACCTAGAAAATACAGATTTCAGACTTTAATCTAGCCACAGTTATTGATAGTCATGTAATTTCTCATGTAAGATTGTTTATTGTATAATTATAATTAATATCGCCTACAACAATAAAATAAGCACAGCATCTTGGTATGTTGATTTAATAGGGGTGATGCTCGTGACGTGGTAAAAGAAACAAAATTAGTCCGTCTTCAGTAAGAAATAAAAATAAATGGACCCATATTAATTTTCTATTATCAATCAACCAAAAAATTTTATGATATCAGGTCAGAGTTTGATAATGGGGCCTCATGACGTCACGTCTAAGTAAAAATTGTACCAAAACGTGACGAAATGAGACATTTAAAAACAATATAATTACTATAATATTTTGATTGTGCTAAAAAATAAAAAAATCACGACTGAAGTGAAACTTCTTTAGCTCCATCTGTATGTATGTATGTGTGTACAATATATACATATATGTACATGTACAAATTTCATTTACTAGCTATAAGAAAAAGAGAGAAAAAAATGTGCGCGCGCACTGCTCTCTCTTGCTTATATCCCCCACTCAAATCCCGTTCGCCTCGCCCGATCACACTTTTCGTAACGCGTTCGCCAGCTTACTCCCCAAGTCAAGAGTGCGAATACTTTTTGATAAATCTACCACATAGACGAAGAAAAAAAAGACAGTCACCATCACTATTGTTAAATAGTTCTAAAAAACTGGCGAAAAGACGAGTAGAACTTCTTTACTAACTAATTCAAAATCATGCATACGAGTATTAGGTGCTGCGCTCAATGCAATTTAATTCGACGTTTCAATAGCATTGTTCCTTTTGATTTGAACTGATTGAACATCTGGTTAATATGTATATAAGTTTTTTTTCATTTCCTTAGTTATTTATCTCAGCTAATTATTAATTTATTATATGGAAGACCAACAGCTAATTTAAAACAAAAAATATAATTACAGTAGTAACAAATAGTCAAATATAGGTCCTCGCAGATAACAACAGATTAGATTATTAAGGGCGCACTATTCAAACACATGCACGTATACACCATTATTCGCTGCAATACAGAGTACAATAGTTCAACATTTTTCAAAATTCAATGTTTGTCAAAAAACATATTGGAAATAATACGCTTCGCCGAGGCCTCGCTAGTGTCAAAAAGATCTAAATTGGCCTGGTTTGACAGTATATTGAAATTCTTACAAGCCAGTGAGAAGTATGCATTCTGCCGATAGTTAGTAGAGGCTGGTAGGATATATAATATTGGGTTCGATCTAAGGGGCTTTAATAGAACTCTAAGGTTAATTTTGGACGCAAGTTCCGGGCAATACATAGCACTATATGCTATCTTCATCAGAAACATGAAATCAGCAATTTCTCGACGTTTTCCAATGAGAAAAGATGGTGCTTTTTACAAAGCTCAATATAGCAGGTCGATTCATATCGGTCATGAATTCGGAAAGGAATGAATAATGAAATGGAACTTATGAAAATGGAAAAAATATTCTTATTTGGAGAAAGTGAATTAGTGCAGTCATTGAAGCGAAAAATACGGTCTTACCTCCGAATTATTTAACTGTGAACCGATTTGCATGAAATTTTGGAATTAGGCTCATCTTACCCTTAAATTCAAAAGTGAAAATAATCTGAACTCCGCCTATTATTTTTAAGGGGTGTAAACAACCCCTTAATGGAAAAATTGACATTGAGTCATTTTATCGCTACAAAACATGTCTAGTAAGTGGTGAAATTGTAAAGTATTTTCTAACATAATTACCTCATATTAAAATCATTTTCAACCCCTTGAAAATCTTACAAAGAATCTTGCAAAGAACCCCTAAATTGAAAAAATCACAAAAAAATACTTTGGTATGACATAAAAAGATGTAAGTATAGAGTAAGTAATATTTTATATTCTCTATAATAATTATCAAATTTTTAACCCCCTTTCAACCCTTGAAAACTAACCCTTGATAAAAAATTGTTAAAAAAAAGTTGGCCCCTTCACTCAAATGTGTTATATATGCATATAAGAACGTTGGTATGTATTCATGCCTACGTTTCCAAAATATGTGAGCCATATTATGTATATATATACACATTACAATAGTTGTGGGTCTCTATTATACTGCGTACTTTCATATTGCTCCAAATATTCACTCTCCGAAATTTTCAGTTACTAAGTAGAAAAAAATATGATAAGTTTTTGGACCATAACTCCTTCAATTTTCATGTTATCACAATTTATAAAAAAACATTGTAATATATTATAGCTAAAAAACCTTTTTCTAAAACGGTGAAGGGTTAAAGGGCTTAAGAGAGGCTGTGATTGCGCTGCCAGGCGCTCTTTAAACAATCATATCTCCGTAAATTTTTGCTTGACAGAAAAAACAAAAAAAACCAAACTGTTTGTCAGAAAAATACCTAAATTTTTAATCCGTACACTTTTATACGTGTCGTCATTTTTGAGATATTATTTAAAAAGTGGGTTTTAAAATATTTGAAAATTTTTTTTTAAACGTGACTTTTTTGAAAAATATGTGTCCTGAAGCAGCCAAACTGATACCATCTATCAAACTCTTCATAATAAAGTTAATTCTAGGCGGAATACGATTAATTTTAATTTTGGTGGAAATGGCACTTATGAAACCCATTGATTTAAAAGAAAAAACATTAGATGCTCCCCTTATTTGCAATACAGCTCACTTATTTTACGTGCAAAAGACTTTTAATAGTACTCATTTTAAAGCTTATTTCAAGCACTACAAAACCCTTATATATTAGAATGCATAAAATGCATCTGCTCGCCGCTAGATGGCATTGACCACATCGATTAAATTTCAGACAAAATAAAAAACAGCTTTGATCTTTAATATCTAGCTTAATATTGCACTTAGAATACTTTATAAAAAACCAAATTGTTCATTGTTTTACCTGCTACAATTTTGTTCTTTATAAAATTTTCGATAAAACTTAAATTTTTGCAGATATTTGCAAAAAACCGATGAAAAACGGGAAAAACTTTCGAATTTTCAATTGCCAAGTATTGAAATTTGAAAGTATTGAAAAGTATTGAAATTTTGGAAAAACTTTATAGATAATTTTTTGCTTAGAATTAGGCCTTCTATTGAATTCCGAGATTATTTTGAAAAAAAAACACCCCCGAGAAGGGGTGGCAACCACCTCCAGGGTGGTTGCAGAGTTCAAATCATTTTCACTTTTGAAGTTAAGGGTAAGATGAACCTAATTCCAAAATTGTATGCAATTCGGTTCACAGTAAAAAAATTCGGAGCAATAATGATTCAATGACTGCATTAAATACATTTTTTTCTCTCGTAGATGGTTAAGAGAAACGGTTAAGAAAATGGTACAAAGGGAATCACTAAAGGTTAATCATAAACGGATTAAAATGACAAAGAAGGAGCAGATGTGAAACTCGATGGCGTAGTGAAAAATTTAGTCGGACTACGATCGTGGAAATGAAGTTACTATCGCAATGGCCGGTCGTAGGACGGGTGACCAAAAATTATTATCGCGCGCTTTTCCGTGTTTCGGGAAACACGCTGAGCTGCGTCTGTAGTCGTTAGCACCATGCTATAGGGATAACATTCGGCCAAATAATTCAAAATTCTATTAAATACGTCTGTTGGATTATTATTATCAAAAAAATAATGGCCACTTATTTTTTCACTTACCAATTAACCAAAAAATTACAAAGATACATTGCTTTAAAGTTAAACTTAGATGTGAGGACATGCGAAATTTCAAATCGCAATATCTGCAATGTCTTGATTATGTAAATAAAGAAACAATACGTGACCTTTTTTTATAATCAATTTGAAAGACAAAGAATAGAAGTTAGTCATTATGCCTATACCGTTCATCTTATTGCTTATGTAAAAAGGGTGGCAAGTGGAACAAGCGTATGACCCACACGATGCTAAGCGGCCACCATAGCTTATTGACGCTTGCGATACCAATATCATTCACATCGTTGCCCACTCTACCCCAATATCCTATCCTGTTGAGCCCTGAAAGCTTAGTTACCAACAGAAACACAACACTATCAAAAGGTAGTATTATTTTACTGTTATCTTCTATAAGGTAGAGGTCACTTCCCCAGACGGATGCTCCAATTCGAGCGGAAAAGCCGCAATTCCCTTCCCCTCTTTCCTTCTTAGGGAAATTGTATGATTCCTGATTCCTTTAATGCGGGCATTAATAGGCCACAGTACTTTTTTTGTCTGGTAAATGCCTTATGCATCCCTAACCACCGGGGAAGCGAGAATAAGGTATGTGTGACTCCTCCAGCCAGCACTTGGGCCAGATGAAATGAACAGGGCCCTACCTAGTGCCCTGAACAGGGCCACTAAAAACCAGACAATGCTGCTTTTTTTAATGTGTTTGCTGTTGGTTGCAGATAACCTTTACAGCGTTACCCGGTTTTCAAGCCGAAAATTGGCGAGTGCCTTTAGAGGTTTTCAAGGCGGATGGCATCTCCCCACGGGGGAAGTCTCCTTTCCGTCTGGAGCCTCTAGACCTCTCGAACCTGAGGGGGCAATGCTGCTGCACCGTTCGCCCGACACACACTCTGAGGCCGAAGTCTCCAGAGTGCGTGCCGTGTGTACGTGTGATGTTCGTTCCATTGCCATAAAAACAGACATTTGCACAAAAACATCGTAAAATAAAACTCTGTCATTAATGATGCAATCAAAATGTACTTATATCATTCAAGTGCGCTTATTTTCGATGATATCATACGTTTAAAATAATCGTGAACATGGTAGTGTCACACAAAGCAGATGTCAAGTAGCTATAGATTTTTTACTTATTGTTACATATTGGCAGCTACTTGTCTTCATTTGAAACTTGTTTAATAAGTATCTACATGGGTAGTGTAGGTGTATAACGCTTACGTTGTCTTCCTAATTGTTTGTAAATACGCAATTAGCATCATAATGTGTTAATTTACCATCGTTTAATATTCCTTTAAGTCTTTTGCATTTAATATATAATTTTCAATTAGATCTTCATCTATGCGATTAAATTAATAGATATTTCTATTATTTATTTACTATGTCATTGAAATACCCATATCTGGTTATAATCTGGACAAAACTAGTATCCTATTCCCTATTTATTACTATAAACAAAGAACCTTCTTCAGGGCCTTATTTTATCTATTTTTACTGGTTATTGAATTGTTCCACGCTAAATTAATGTTTACAATTGCTTTAGGGATAACGGAAAATATTGTCAGAGATTGTTCCGACACGTATAGTGATAATTTTAACACGGCTGCTCCAAAAAGGACTTTAGGATGCATGTTTATTTGTTTGTCATATTTTATCATAAGATCCTTAACACTGTCATGAATTTAATACAGTGAAATTTGTTTTTTTTTTAAGTATTTCTCTTAAGTTTCTCCATTGGTCGACACTATAAAACTACGTTGGACTTCAACAAAAAACATGTGATTAAACAAAACCAACACAGAGTTAAGACTTCTTACGTCTCTCCATAAAATAAAGCCAACTTGAGTATTCTAAAAATGTTATATAAATATTATTTGTTTCATAGATTTCTTAATCAATTAATTGCACCTGTACGAGATTCTCATGAAATTATAGAAGTACGTAATAAGCTTGGATTAATATCTCAAAGTAATGCAAGTACATGGAAAGTAAGGAAATAAGTGTTCTCTGGGTGTGAAAATTGTTCCAATACTTTTAATGCACTGTTCACAAGAGCATAGTGAGATTTTTTTTTCAGTCCCATCGATAATTCCTTCTTATTCTTCTATTCAACTTTTCCTTACTAGTTATGAAATTCTTTCCACTTTCATAATTGGTTACGATAAACAACCAAGAAAATGAAAAAAAAAAGTTATTTATTAACCAGGTGAAAAAATATCAATTAAATTCCATGTAAGCAGTTAAATTATTTAGTTTTATTTCTCGATTTATAAACTAGAACTCATTTAACCAGTTCTTCTTTCGTAGATGGTTAAGAAAATGGACTAAAGGAGAAAACTTGGTTGCTAAACTAAAAAAAATGTAGTTATAATTACGATGCCAGTCAATAGCATAAGCTCCACATAGGTACTAAAAATTTATGTTCACTCTATTCTCGGAGACAACAAACATTTAGATGATTTCAAATGTTTTTTAAAAGTGTAAACAAAAAATATTGTCTGAATGTCTTACTACCAAACTAAGATTGTACTTTTCAAGGAAATACTTATAAAATGTCTCATATTAAAAATATTAATAACTGTTTTCTAATGTATCAGTTTAGTTTTTATGAATCTAATAAAACCAGTTTTTTTATCAAATTTAAAGACATTCAGTAATAGAAGATATTTATTTTCAATAATAAGTCGATTTCTTTGCTCTAGTCAAAGTAAGTAATTCTATAATAGGTAAGTACCAAATAAAATTCTTACCAAAGAAGTGGAAAACTGTAAACGCAACTAACACTGACATCATGTTGGATTCATTCGTGTTTTTATGAACAATTTCACTTTGTGTAATAAAGAATTTAAAACGAACTTATTAATAACACGATGCAATCGCTCAACACACGTGAAAAGCGCGCGAAAACTACTGTGCAAAACACTGCAAAAGCTCAATGATTTGTGAGCGTGGGATGTGAACTTGTGGCGTATTGGCTCGTTGGCATGCTACACAGATTAGCAATGGCTAATATGCTGTACATTATTATATACATAATAACACTGCGCTTGGTTGGAATGTTACGTTATTTCAACACTTGGTATTACCGTGCCTAAATCTCTTGTACTTGTGCCAAATATCCTCTGTTTGTTTTCGGAGTTCTGTACCCCTAGAACGAACCATTATCGAATTCGAATAGTAGAACAGCAGCGCCACAAAGTACGTAACGAGAACGAGAGAAAAAATCAGTACACATTTGACAATGACATTTCGGACTCGAAAACGATTCAAATTCGATATTGGTTCGTGCTAAGGGTACAGTACCTTTTTGGTATAAGTATTATGTGAAGAAGATTTACTGATTACGAGCATAATGGCAAATTAATAAAAATCAATAGAAAAATTAGAGTAGGTAAGCTTAACATTTATTGTACAGCTCAGGTGAAGGCCCAAAAACGTACACATTAAAGAAAATGATTCCAAGCAGAATTCAACGCAAAAGAGTATTTTACCATGTTTTGATTTTCATACAAGTTTGTTGCAAGTGTGGTAGCAACAGGGGTGGTACGGTGGGTTGGGGCAGGTGAAGGCTTGGCATGGAGGCACTACAGGACAGCACTCGCCAGGGTACCAAACGGTGCGAGCGTATCGTCCGCTTGGCCGCGTACATGCACCATGGTTGAAGCAATGCGCTTTACACGGGAAGTCGTAACAGCAGGGCCTGAAAAGAACAATGAACTTGGACCATTATCCTCAGCCTTTTAATGTCCTTATTGTTAAGACACAGGCCTTAACTATGGATGGAATAGGGAAAATGGATCAAGACCCACATCTCAGACCCAGATTAATATTTGCTAACTGCAGGTGCAGCAGGAACCCACTGATTAACGTGTCTCCAAAAGCTGGAGCCGTTCGAAACACAAAATGTTTACCACTTATTCTTTGACTGGCTATTGCTAAAGTTGCTTTATTTCCGAGATGGCAGACAATTTTGTTGTCGGACCGATCACACAAGCCCCTGCACCGACGGATTCCTCGCTCCTTTATTTAGATATGAGAAGATTTAGACAAGAAAAATATATTTGCAGGGAAGTAGGGGAAACCGCCCAATCATAGGCACTCTTCCATTATTGGTACTATTGAGTTTAGTTTGAAAAAAAAACGAAACAATAGATTTTCGGAATAGTGCTGCTAATTTTCAAATTTGAAACCATACATTTAGGTTTTTATTTTTAAAATGTGCAGCACTCGAATTATCTATTGCTTCCTCGTTATTTCGAAATCAACTGAGATTCGACCGAAACAAAATGTGGGGTCTATAGGAGTGATACTCAACTAACTTTGTCGTGGTTTTCTTCTTAGGGTGCCTAAGAACTCTTTTCAACTAGAAGACGATAATAACTATCATTTTATCATCACAGAGCTTATTCTCAAAGCATTTTTAGATTAAGAATCGAATTGGTCACCTAATCCGCGTCCCTTTAATCTCTGAATGCAGTTACTGTTTTGATGCTCTGGTTTTACCATACTCGATATTAAATATTAAAAATAAGGTATCTTGCCTTTCTACAGGAGCGTTACTGGGTGCGGAACAATAGGCAGTAGCTTCTCTCTGGAAGGGCTGAGGTCTGGGTTGGCCGCACCTTGGCCTCTTGTAGTAGATGCTGTATTCGCCTTTCACACAACCGTACCTCGGGCACGGTCGAAAACATTCATACCCCCTAGGCAGGACTGACATACTCGGGAAATAGCTTTGTTGGATATCTGTAATATATAGTTATTAGTATTTATATAAAAAAATAATCATTTCCAAATGGACCGATTTCCCAAACCATTTTATTATAAAAGTAACTTTTGATAATAATCCTATAGTACTTACCGCGATTATATTTAAATTTATTCTTAATTTTATTGATATTTACTATTTTTATACATTTAATGCACTTTTTAATTTTTTATTCTAGCCTGATTTTACTGGAATTTTTGACACAGATTTTTTTATTTTATTTTGTAGGAAATTTGTATTGTTTTTGGTTTAGTAATAATGAGTTCTGAACAAAAAATACTAGTAGTAGGATTACTCTCTCTGCGTGGAAAAATTGAATGGATTTTCGGCGTAAAGTAAAAATCCAAGTATCAAGCAAAAGTAGCATTTCGGTTAAATTTAACTACTAGAAGTTATTCCCAATTGAAGCCGGTTAAAATCAAATAAAAGTTTTAAATGAAACACAGATTGGGGTCTAAAGCGTGTTCCACATTCTCGCGGTCTTGGCCAAACGTTTGGTCGAGAATGGGCGTTAACGAGAGTACACGAAACTGGCTCATTTTTACCTCATTACATTCGGCTCAGTTGACGGTCGTACGAAATGGACGTCATGAAAACATCTACCTTAATGTTAGATCAAAAAAAAAAAGTACAGATGAAGCGCTGCGAACAACAACGTGGCACAGGTTTAAACCAAGCCAGCCCCCCTAGCATGAGTAACAAAACGCGATATGATAAAGCGATTTATCGACATTAACTGTCAAACAACAATGGAGTTTGACAGTTGAGTGTCGATAAATCGCTTTATCATATCGCGTTTTGTTAGTCATGCTAGGGGGGCAGGGCTTGGTTTATACGGTAGGCCGTGTATATGTACATTCCCAATTTTATCAGTCAAGCAATGGCGGCGCGTCAAGTAAAACTTTATCAGAAATATCAAACTTTTGAAGTAAAAATTCTGAATTTTGTTGTTAAAGAATGTAAAAGGGAATCTTGAGAGGCTCAATTTTCGCTGTCCGGAGGAAAAAAGTACACGTAATATTAAAACAAGGATCTGATTTTTTTTATGCTACTATAATGTAAGATTTAACTGAGGCACGATATTTATTGTCTTATTTGGGGTAGAACTAGTAAAAAATATCCTAAAGGACTAATATTTCACATCCCGTCCACTTCACATTTTGTGGACAAACTACCAGCAACGTGTAACGATTTCTCGTAGTGAGTATGGCTACCATAACACTAGTTACTATTTTTTTGTTTTTTATTTATTTAAAGCATTGGCTTCCAGGGCCGTTAGCTTAAACATAAACAACTTGCTTAGTGAAAATAAGATACGAACAACAGGAATTAACAAAAATAAAACGGGGAAATCTAACATAATCAACTAATTACTTATAGTCCAGTCACCGTTAATGAAGGCTTAACTTTGCCATTTTGAGTTGATCACCTGCAACCAACGCGAAAATTTCCGCAAGAGTTCGTAAATTAATATACTAAAATTGCAGGGTGCTGCATTGACGGCAAAGGGTGCAAAAAAATACGAAATGGTGCAAAAACGAGTTTTTCGTCAATACCTCGCGACTGGCTGGGAAATAGAAAAAGTTCCTAGTACAAAGTTGTAGAAAAGGTTAAAGGTGCAAAATAAAAAAATAAAATATATTGTTAATGGTTTTTTTTCCATTTTTAAACGATCCTACGGGTCAAATTCGACAATCACCACTTACTGAAACAATGAACCTAAAACTAAAAACCTTAAAAAATATAATATAATAACTAAAATTAACATTATGTACAAGAATAATATTCAAATATCACCCCGTTTCGTTTCTGCTTAGGCAAAGGTGCCCATTATGCTTGCAGCATTGCCACGCTGGATGGCAATAGACAATCTTTGTGCCAGAAACGACCCGGAGCGAGGGTCATTAGTTTTTTGCCTGAGTCGGCGGCCCAGGTCCCACACAAATTGCTTGGCCTCTGCGCTCCAACAACCCGCCGTTTCCACCGCCAAAGACACAAAAATATATCCTTGCCCCAACGAGGAATATTTTAAGCGCTTCGCCGTTGCCTGATACTCAGCCGCTGCCCCAGCCTTGTGTGTCGTGCGGCCAATGTGGGTAGCGGCGAAAGTGCTGACACACGTCGCGTCCCACACCAAACATCGTCCCTTCTCCCACGGTACCAATGTCAGACCGTCAGGCCGTTTTCCGTCGGTGCGGCTGAGACCAGGTGGTTCGAAGACGGAAGGAACGCCGGCCGACCTAAGACCTCTCAACACTGTCATTTAGAGCATGGTGACGTGGGTGTCTGCCTGTACATCGATGGCAGCTCAATGCGTGATGGCCGTCAGCCACCACCATGGTACCGCAGATGCATACATGTGGTTGACATACATCGCAGCCCAAGCGGAGGGCGACCGCCACCCGCAAAGAGTCACCGTCAAGTAAAGTGCCCATATGAGGCGAAGGTAACGCGTGCAGCCACGCCCCGGATTCAGGCTGTGACACCGCCAAAATCCTCGCCAGATCGACTCCCGTGGCACCACCAGTAAGCAGTTCAAGAGTCGCTTTACAATTAACGTCGTCCCATGAGCGCTGGAACTCGGGGTTCCTAGGCACGGCTGCACCCGGGACAAGAGCCAACCAGGCTGTCAAAGCATCGGCCACAAAGGGTACGGTCACCTTGTCGCCATTCATAGACAGAATATTAGCGACAAGACCCGAAACCCCATGGGCCGACGCCAAGAAAGCCGTCAGACTCACATCTCTAACTGAAATATTTAAGGATAAGTTTTCGGCAGTCCACTGAAATGAAATTTGTCTACCGAAATGGTAAAAAATTACCACCGAAATGATACAGCCAAGAACATCGCCTTTGTAGTAGAAGGGTTCCCTATTTTGAATTTAAATAAATTTCCTTATTCTTTGTAAATATTTTTGTTCATTATTTTTTAAAAAGAATTATTAATGAAGAATTAATTAATTGTTACTGCTATTAATTATTATTACTAATTATAATTATTAATATGTACATTTTCAAAATAACGAACAAAGCGCGTTTAGAAAGCGAGAAGTTTATTGGTTAGTAAATCGTCCCCTTAGTGCCAAAACCGATTATCTGCACTTTTCCGCTACTGAACTTTTATAATACCAATCGACTCGTCTCATTAAGCCACATCTACAGGTAAAACCCATTATGCTCTACGACGCATACTTCCTGAAATGCTAATGAATAAACAGAATAACTGCAAATTATTTCCAATATTCTTGATTTAAAACCTAATAAACCCATTCAAAACACCTAAGTTTGTAAATGTATTACCGCTGAAACCAATTTTCGGATTAAACTCATTTTTCATGTAGACACTTAGAGTAAATATCCTGTGAGTATCCTGTAATTGGCTTTGACTGTTTTAATTTTACCAGATATTTTAATTTTACTAGATGAAGTAAAAACTAACAAATCTGTCGCTTTTTGCAAAAAAAAAAATATAATATTTATTTATTTATTTAATAGGTGTACTTACAGCTAAACATATAAAAACATTAAAAAAAATTAAAATAATACTTATTCTAAGACATATATGCAAGCCTTTACAAGCACACACAACATTCAATTCAGAAAAGTACAATAAAATGTAATTAATAATCAATAATAAAAAATGGAATTAATAATCAATAAATCAATGAATAATCAATACAAAATAGTGCAATTAATAATCAATGTTTGATTTAAAATTAAAAATGTATGTCAAATTGATGCAAATAATAATAATGTAATGTCGAATTGATACAAAAAATAATAATAATAACTATAATAACGCGGAATTAATGATAATTAATGAGAATCAATGAGAATCGAGCAGCTCAAACAATGTTGCTTTAAAGTTTTTCTGCGAAACGTCAAAAATGTCCAAGTTGGGTGATCTTGTGTTAATATCGTTATAGGTATTGCAGATTCTGGCCAGAGGGTGATGAAGACCCAGGTTAGTTCTGTGTAAAGGCAAAGTAAAAGTCTTCGTAAGTGGCTTTCTTGGGCATCTACGGGGTACAGTGACGTTTATTGAGTCAAGCAGATCAGGACACGAAATTTTATTATTTATAATTTTATGTAGAAATAGCAAATCTAATATTGTTCGACGATTCCTCAGTGATGTCATACCAAAGAAAGCCAGTCGCATATTGTAAGGAACCCGGTGATGTATACCGGATGCTTTATACGCTAGATGTCTTGTGAAGGCATGTTGAATGCTTTCAATTCTCTGTGATGCATTAGCATACACCGGGTTCCATGCAATAGATGCAAACTCGAGCACAGTACAAACAAGACTGTTATAAAGGATTATCCTGGTTTCATGTCGTTGAAAACCCTGCGAATTGCGTTTCAGAAAGCAGATTTGGGCAGATTTTTTAACAATTCCATCAATATGAGCTTTAAATTTTAACCTACTATCCAATATTACGCCAAGATCGCGTACCTGATCTACCTTTCTCAATATAGTCCCATCGATAGAGTGCGCAGAGCCAATAATATTATTTTTCCTCGTGAAACATATATGAAAACATTTATCTGGATTTACAGTCATACCGTTATTTGTACACCAAAGCTTTAAATTGTTGACATCTGCTTGCAAGAGACCAATATCAGTAGAATTATTAATTGTCTTGTAAAGTTTTAGGTCATCAGCAAAAATGGATATATTACTATGTTCAATGCACGAAGTAATGTCATTAATAAAAATTTAAAATAGAATTGGACCTAAATGGGAGCCCTGCGGTACACCAGATTGAGCATAATTCATTTTAGAGTCATAACCTGCCACAGAAACCACCTGAGGTCTTTTAGCCAGATAAGAAGCAAACCATAATAACAATGACCCTCCAACTCCATAGCTTTCCAATTTTGACAAGAGAATAGCATGACTTACTTTGTCGAAAGCGCTGCTAAAATCAGTATACACCACGTCAACTTGTCGCCCCGAATCTACACTTGAGGAAATGTTAGAAATCATTGAGGCTAGATTTGTGTCTACAGAACGACCCCTTCTAAAGCCATGTTGATATATCGATATGCTGCTTTCAATCAGATTGTTTAAATGTGGGTAAACTAGTGCTTCCAACATCTTTGCAAAAGTAGACAAAATTGAAACAGGTCTATAATTTTTCACAAACGTTTCATCACCTTTTTTGTGAATAGGTACGATTCTGGCTCTTTTCCATTCGTCTGGAAACACTCCTTTGCTCAATGAACAGTTAAATAATGTCATCAAAGGGAGAACCAGAAAGCGTCCGCAACGTTTCACAAACAAAGGCGGGATATTGTCTGGACCTGGACCTTTATGTCTGTTGAGGCTCTTCATAACCTTCAAAACATCATTTTCGGTGAATTTAAGTGTGGATAAGAAATTACTGCTCATCTGGTTCAATGTTGAAGGGATCATATCAGTGACAGTATAAACTGAAGAAAATTGTTCAGCAAACATATTGACAATGTCGTCACCCGTCGATGCTATAACGCTATCATTAGTCATGCTTGTTGGAATAGATGACCGACCATTCCGTTTATCCTTGATATAACGCCAAAAATACCTGGGATTTTTACGAATATTAGTTTCGATATTAAGGTTATATTTACTTTTACATTTATTAGTAAGTTTATGACATCGTTCACGAAGTAAGTCAAATTCAATTTTGTCTCTTGGATTATGAAATTTTCGAAGTCTCTTTCTAATTTTATTTTTTTCTTTTAAAAGCTTGATTAATGATTTACTGAACCAACCAGGATATTTGCTGTTAATAAATGTGCGTTTCGGAACATGTTTTTCTATAATTGTATATATAATAGTATAAAAAGTTGAAACTGCTCGATTCACATCCTCCAGGCCCCTGAAGGTTTCGTTCCAATCATGAGCAGATAGGTTTTTTTTAACTGAGTCATAATCTGCTTTATAAAAATTAAAACTTTCCTTTCTGTTAGGCATAAGTCCATGATCATTATTAACGGAGAGTGGAATAGTAACTTCAATACAAGGGTGGTGATTATCCAGTCTACTTAACAGATCTGAAGGTTTAGATACACATGCAATTTCTATGTTGCTTAAGACCAAGTCCAATATTTTGTCTGACTTATTACAAATGTTGTTACATTGGTACAATCCATTTAAAGACATAAAGTCGACTAGAGAATATCCTAAACTACTTTCATAATTGGTTGGCATTAAATAACTTTTGTCACAGTGAGATTTCCAATGTATGTGGCCGAGGTTAAACTCACCCATTATAACCACAAAATCCGAATGGCTCACCACATCATCAACACTGTCAAGAAATATTTGTTGCCTCTCCAAGCTGGTTGGAGGCGGCAAGTACACTGCGCAAATAGATAGTGTTTTCCTCTGACCGTTGATTTCGGTTGTTACTTTGACCCATATGTCCTCACAGCTAGATTCCTAGTTTTGGATGCGCAAAGACTGAAACTCACGCGAAACAGCAATAAGTACCCCTCCTCCATCCTGCTTAGAGTTAGACGAGCACACTCTGTCTCTACGATATACTATATAGCGTGAGTCAAAAAGTTCACTACTGGAAATACTATTATTTAGCCATGTTTCTGTAAACACTACAATTTTATAGTCTGAGAGAAGAATATTATCATAAACATCGCGGACCTTTGTGCGAAGGCCACGGACATTCTGATAGTAAACATTGAATTTTGAAAACAATACACCAAAGCATTCAATGCAAACTATCATATCTAACTAATTATCTTATTAAGGTTCTCTCGGCTTTGAATAAGTTTACATTCACTTTCTTCATCTTTTCTGACAAATATTCGGCCATTACGTACCCAAGTAAATTTGTATCCAAACTCTTTAGCTCGCAAACGAATAGCAGAATGTAAAGCTTTGTTTACTGGTGAAAGGTGTTCACTAATATAGACGGGATTGCTTTTGCCGCCAAAACCCAGCTGATGCGAGTTTAGTTTGTCATTAGGGTGACTCTTATTGAATTTTGTTACAGCATCAAGTACTGTATTGCGATGACGCGGTGTCCGCAGTTTGACAATTACAGTGCGAGGCCTATCGTCATTTCTATTCATCTTTGCAACCCTAGTCACCAACATTATATCATCATCAGTAATGTCAGCGTCTACAACTTTAGTGATCTGCGAAATGTGTTTGTAAGATTTTCTGCCTTGTGGTCCGGGATTCCATTAATTTCGATATTGCTTTCTCTCATATTTTGTTCTAGTAAATTTAATCTTATCGAAAGATCCGTGACAGTAGATTTCAGCTTTACATTGTCGCACTCGAGAGCATGAACAACTTTACTTTTTTCTTCAAGCATTGTTTTGATTGAAGATTCGTACTTTTGATGGAAGAAAGTCACGGCGTCGCGCATTCCATTAAATTGTTCTTCTAGAGACTTTAATTGAGCTGTTACCTTAGTCGCAATAGTGTCTGCTAAAATGTCACGTAGGTTTTCCTCAGTTAAGTAATTGTCAGTGTGCAATACTTCAGAAGCTTCAGATACTGTACCTGATGCATGTCGTTTTTGTCTAACCGTAACATTCTTTGTTTCCGATGTAGGTGTCGTATCGATATCTGAACTTATCTGAGTTTTTAGTCGAGTCTGTGCCTGAATGGGTATGTTCAAATTTCCAGTCTTAGGCATTTTGCTGTTACATTCGGAACACTTCCAGTTTCGTTTTCTCTCTTGATTGGCGTAAAAACTATTAAAACGTTGTGAATTTACTCCAGCACACTCAAGGTCATACTTTTTCTTACAGTTCATGCATTCTAAGTATTCTCTAGTTTATATGGTGTTCAAGCAACCAGCGCATTTGCCAAAGCTAGGCGCCATCTTATGACTATATGGTGCGTTTATAAATAAAACTGTCTAATAAGGTAGACTGGAATTGATTTGCGAAGCCAAAAAGGTAAGAAGCTTAAAAGCAAAATGTCAACGCAAGCATTAATAGGTATTTAGTACACAATGCACTAGATGATTACTCACGAACAACAGTTATCCATCACAATGAAGGTTGCAGTGTGGACGCATGCCACACTGATATTGCAGATTCGGCGGAATTCGTGTAAAGTCTTCTTATATGGCAATACTTTACTCTTGACTGAAGATGTCAGTTGATTTTGACAACTTCAATGAAGTTGTCAAAATGAAAATTGGTTTTTGGGACTCGGTACTGGTTGACACACGTGTGCGTGAGTTACCTAATTTCGAATAATACTTAAAAATCCTTCTGAATTGAGTACTATTCATTAATAATACTAACCCTGTTACGTGCTTAGTAGTTAGAAATAAAAATACCATTTACATAAGTACTATATATTTATCACACATAAATTATCAACAGTTGTAAGGTTAAACTTTACAATGAATCAGGAACCCCCCGACCCCCCCGATCCGCCGGACATGGAGATATCCTTGCCGGTGTTTTCACAAGCGTTTCCAGATTCCAGAAAACATAAATTAACAGATGATACAACCCAAAATGTAGACAAACGTACTAGAAACATTAAGGACATAGACTCATCAATTTCAGTACAAACTGTTTATGCTCACCCTAGCCTTTCTGAATCTCAAAAATACGGCCATGATGACAGCGGACACTTTATCGTGCACGTAAGTCGGACGGAACCGGACCCTGCCGCGGGCTCAAGAATACGACCTATGAAATTCGGTCAACTTTTGCACAAAAGCAACATAACCAACATCGTCAAGGGCGGTATTAAAAACTTAGGGAGAAACAGAATTGAAATTGAATTCAAAACAGGTGATGGTGCTAACAGCTTCATTACATCCAGTTTCCTTTCCCGTTACAAATTCAAAGCGACTATCCCAACTTACAACGTTACACGAATGGGTACTGTTAGAAACGTACCGGTAGATTGGTCTCTGGATGAATTTGTGGAGTCAGTAGATCTCCCAGAAGGTTGCGGCAAAATCCTTAAAGCTAGACGCCTTAATAGAAAAGTCAGTACCAATGACAAAATTTCTTGGACCCCTACCCAAACGGTTGTACTGACCTTTGAAGGTCAAAGCCTTCCCAAGCGGATTTTCTCATTTTATACATCGCTCCCAGTTGAGACATATCAGCTCCATACGATCCAATGTCACAACTGCTGCAGATTTGGCCACATTAAAGCCCAGTGTCGCTCAAAGCCTAGGTGCTACAAGGTGCGCTCAAGAACACCCCGGTGACAGCTGCCCTACGTTAGAAAAAAATTCCACCTGCTTACACTGCTCTGGAGGTCACTTTGCGACCAGCAGAGGATGTCCAGAATTTGCCAGACAACACATCATCAAAATCGTTATGTCCCAGGAAAATGTTTCATACTTAGAAGCCTCTGCTCGGTTTGCCCCCGTCCGTAGACCCTACTCTGATATGTCAAGATCTCCACATTATACTCAATCCCAACCTGTTCCTCTGTCACCACAGCTGCAAACTCACAGTTCATCATCATACAGAAAAACTGTATTGCTCCGCCCTCGAAATAGGGCTCCTGTCCCTAAAAGTTTTGACCGTCTTGCTCATCAAGCTATAGTCTCTGAAGTTCCTCCCTCATTACCCAATGGGTCCAATCTAGAGAACCCTTATTCTACTTCGAGCGACGACAGATTCCTCGAACACATTATTTCTCTTCTCACAGATATACTCTGCAGATTTAATGACGCCTTACCGCCCAACGTTGCCAATAAATTACACTTACTAGCTAATATCCTACCTAAAAATGGCCCAGAGAAATCAAACGATGAACACTTTTCAATTTCTTCAATGGAACACTAGAAGTGTTATCCCTAAGCTACACGAATTGAAGTATTTACTCAACAAATATCACATTGCCGTCGCTGCCATCTCTGAGACATGGTTGAAACCAGACATGCGATTTAAAGTGCCTGGTTACATATGCCTCAGGGAGGATAGAGATGATGGCCATGGTGGTTGCGCTCTTCTGATTAAAAATTGTCTCACTTATACTAAATTGTCAATTCCTCCCCACAGTAATACCTTTATCATAATAGCTGCAAAAATCTGTAATATTTCACTCGTATCTATTTACATTCCTCATCCTTCAACCCCTCTCATCCCAGAACTAGAAGCGATACTGAAGGCAATTCCCAAACCCCTCATAGTTCTTGGAGATTTTAACACCCACCACACATCATGGGGATCACACTTTTGTGATCCATTCTCTTCTCATCTAATTGATCTAGCTGCTGAAATGGATCTATGCATCCTCAATGACGGTAGCCCCACCAGAAGAGTGTACCCTACCCAGGACATAAGATCTGCAGTAGACCTCACATTGTGCTCCCCTTGCCTGGCTCCTACCTTAACATGGAGGACTCTCCCGGAATGCTATAGTAGTGATCACTTCCCAATTATCATTTCAAAGCCCAATTCCTCTATTCCAGCCTACTCTCCCCAAACACTCCGTAAATACAATACCCGGAAGGCAGATTGGACCAACTTTTCTAAAGAAATTGATACCAAACTGAGTAGTATAATACGAAGGCATTTAAGTTGAATTTTATCTAATTTCAGGAGGGCTTCTTTGTTGCAGGGCTCAAGCCAAAAAAGAGCCATAATCAAGCATGCTACGGATCGATGCATTGTAAATCATTTTTTGAGAGGACGGATGGGATCCCCACCATACTCCTGAGAGGGATTTCAGAATGTTTATCAACTTTTCACATCTTTGAGTGATAATATAATTAACATGTGCAGAGCCTTTTAATTTGCTATCCAAAATAATGCCTAAGAATTTAACTTGATCTGAGCAGGGGATTGCCAGGTTGTTAATTTTTATATCAGGAGACGGAAACTGTCTTTTCCTTGTAAATACCACAATCCTACTTTTGGGAATGGAGAGTGAGAGACCGTGGTCTTCTAGCCACTGGTTCATATAATACAAGGCTGAATTCAATTTTACTGAGGCAGCTTCTAAAGATTTGTCAGATGAATAGACGCAGATATCATCGGCATATTGAAGAACTTTAGTGAAGCTGGTAATGCATAGCTCCAGATCATAGGTGTAGAGATTGTACAATAGCGGACTCATGACGGAGCCTTGGGGCAAGCCATGCCATACAGTTCTAGGGGTAAGATGGTGATTGTGGAATCGGACCTTCACAGACCTACCAGAAAAGAGGTTAAAAATGAATTGAACTAGCCTCGCTGGAAAACACAATCGAAGAAGCTTCTGCCTGAGCACCGGAAGTAGAACATTATCATAGGCAGCTGAAATGTCCATAAAAGCCCCCACAAGGTATTCATCTTTGCTAAATGCAACTCTTATATCTGTTGTTAAAATGGCTACACTATCTAATGTACCCTTGCCTTTGCGGAAACCAAACTGAGTTTTAGCTAATATGCCTTTGTTTTCTGCTAACCATTCTAACCTGTTCTTTATTATATGTTCCAGGATTTTGCAAAGTGAGGATGACAAAGCGATCGGTCTATATGAGGAGGCCTCCTGGGAGTCCTTTCCTGGTTTTAAAATTGGGGTAACTATCTGAGACTTCCATGCGGGTGGTATATAACCAGTTTCAATTATTGTATTAAATATTTTAAGAAGATGAGACTTTGCAATTGGACCTAAATGTGTAATACGCTTACATGTAATAAATATTATTTGCGGGTAGTAAAATTGCAACTTATCTTGATAAAAATCCTCCTTAACCGCGGTAATTTTCCTTGGATAACAACTGTGTAGCTTCACTGAGAAATACACTACACCACAGTAATAAGTTTACTCGAAAAAATGAAAAAAATAACAATTTTGGAAAAAGAACTACGTACTGATTATTAACAGTGACTGGGTTGCCACAATATGTTTGCGTTATATTTGAGGCAAGTAAAAGAGGATAGACCGAATCGATCGACCGGTGACCTTCTAGCGTACGTGACATATATCTGGGGTGAGGCTATCGATAAGCGAGGTGAGTCTTTGGCTATCAGCCTTAACATCGCCAAGGCTTTGATAGGGTCTGGCACATAAGTCTTCTCTCCAAGCTTCCTAGATACGGTCTGCCTACTCAGTTCTGTGCCTGAGTGGCTGACTTCCTGCATGAGTGTCAACGGACGGCGACGGTTGTAGTTCTCAGTTCATGTCAGTGAATGCCGGTGTTTTTCAGGACTCCGTCCTATCCCCTACACTCTTTTTGCTGCATTCAATGATTTATTTCCTCTTGAGAATATTTATTGCTATGCAGACGATAATACAGTGCATGTGAGATAATTTGGATACGCAGCCGCTGGACAGGTAGAAACCAAAGAGAAACGGGAGAATCTTGTCATTGTACTCAATCAAGATTTGGACCGCATTTCGGAATACGGTACCAAGAACTTGGTTGAGTTCAATGTCAAGACAGCCCAGGTCTGCGCTTTCACGGTAAAACTAACGTTTTTTCACGCCTGAGCTTGTTGTACATGACGTAAGTACGGTCTTGCGTGGAATATTGTTCGCACCCCAGAGGATGGTTCCGCCAAGTACTTTTTTGATGCTTTGGATAGGTTACAGCGGCGCGCGATCCGCATTATTGGCGATAATGAGGTAACTAAACTACTCGAGCCTCATCAATTACGCCGTGATGTGGCGTTATTAAGCGCGTTTTATCGTCTATACCATGGCGCATGTTTTGAGGAGTTA